CCTCCCTCCCTCCCTCCCTAATGCACATTATGTTAAAATTTGCCACATACCTTTGCATGCATGCACCCCTACACATCAATAAATACTTAAATGTCGGCTATGGTATTAAAAAACAGTAATACTGTGTTGAACAAAATTTGGCTGTCACATATGAAAGAAACATGTTTAGTCAAATCACTTTTTTCACTTTAAAAACATACTTTAATCTAACTCAAAAAATAATGGATAAACATCGTCGAGACACTCCGGAACAAAAAAAATAAATAAATAAATTACACTCCATAAACTATTATCCTTTTTTCGCTGTGTCCCCTCAAATATCCGATTTATCACATTACACCTTCAACTATGTAATTAGTTTTACATTGCTCTAAGTATTGACATACGTTAATATTTAATAGAAAATTATTTCATTTTACCCCAAATTATGTAACTTTTTTCACTTAACTCCAACATGTCATCGATTTTGATAAAAAAAAAAAAAAATAGCAAATGTTTGTGACCGGAGGAACATGAAATTAATCTCATAGTTGATAGAAGAATGTGAAAAATTTGATAGTTGAAAAGACAAAGTGAAAAAATGAAAAATTGAAGGTAAGATACCGAAAAATAAATTTTAGTACCGACTGCTGCCTGTTAAGAAGGATTTTGGTAAGAGGGATTTGATGATCTTGTAAGTATACAACTAAAATGTCATCTTGTAGTACAGAACCAGGATTTGATGTTGTAAATGTTTTCACTAAGCTAACAAGTGGTTTTGCTGTCTACACACAGGCATTTTACCTAGCAGGTGGACTACAAAGGAAAGAGCAACACGGCGAGCAGGCTAGGCAGTCGTTCCAGAACGTTTTCCGCGGCTTTGACGCAGAATTGTTGGCCGAGGCCCTTTACGTTCCTTCAGACATTGTAAGGAAGATGCAACAAGAAGATGATCGAGGACTCATTGTTAATGTCCGAGAGGGATTGAGAGTGATTAGACCTGATGAACAAGGAGAAGGAGAACGAGGGCGCGGGCCAGGAGAGTTTGCAAATGGGTTTGAAGAAACTTTCTGCACCATGAAGGTCCGCACAAACATTGAAAACCGAAGAGAAGCTGATATTTACTCGAGGCAAGCTGGAAGATTAAACATTGCCAATGAGCACAAACTTCCAATCCTTCGATCCTTGGACATTAGCGCAGAGAGAGGAAACCTCTTCCCGGTAATCTTTCTCTCCTGCTAATAGCTGAAGCTGATTAATGGGTATTTCTCTAAAAAACAAAATGTCCACCATCTGTTTGTTAAAATGTTCACCAAGTCCTTCAATGGTTTTGTTGCAGAATGCATTGTTCACGCCACACTGGAATATCAACGCCCACACTGTCATTTACGTGATCAGAGGCGATGCCCAAGTGCAAGTCGTCGGAGCAAATGGCCAAACTGTGTTGAATAATAGGGTGAATGAAGGCGAACTGTTTGTGATACCACAGTACTTTGCATCGACAATTGAGGCCGGAAAGAATGGCTTCGAGTGGGTGTCTATCAAGACAACCAGCTCACCGATGAAGAGCCCTCTTGCCGGTTACACTTCAGTTTTCAGGGCCATGCCACTTGACGTCATTACGAATTCGTATCAAGTCTCTCCAAGTGAAGCTCAGAATCTGAAGCTGAACAGGGGTGGCCAAACCTACCTGCTATCTCCGGGGAGAAGATCTCAGTAAATTGGGTCTGCTATATATATATATATATAGATGATATGCCCCCCTACTACAACTACCAAACCCAAGTTTTTGTATGCTTTGTGAGGAGAATAACTTGTATGAGTGGGACTCCTTATCATCAATAAAATTCGGCCTCTGCTTTTTCGATGTCTCAGCTCTTATGGGTTTCCTTAGTTTACTCAGAACCCCTCTTCTTCTTTTTTTTCAACCAATCGGAGTTTCTAGCTCAATTTAATCTTCTTCTTGTTCCAATTAAAAAATAAATCATTCACGTTAACATTAAGATATTCGCATTAAAACTAGTGTATTCATAGAATATAAATTATCATGACTTGAATTCAATAATTTTTTTCTGTTATCACTTGAACTATCCTTGAGTTTTTGGATCACCTCTTTAAATCTATCTTCAAAAAATAAAAAAAGAAACCTCTTGTTTTGTTTTTTGGTTATATGAGAGTGCAAGGGCAACCAACGAATCCCATCACTTCGTGACCATAACCACCCTTAACACCTCTGGAGAAGCCCTCCAGAGGGCCTAACAAGAAAACCCACATGCACTTCCTTAAAGAATCATAATCATCAGAGTCAGACCCTGGTAAAAATAACTCGACAGTCTACTCCTCATGTTCGGACTCCCCATGAATCAAACATGAGTCATAAACCTTACAAGTTTCAAGCAAAATCCATAACGGGACATTAAACACAACTAGACCACACAACGTTGTGCAAACGTCTTTGATGTGTGTGTGTTTATGTGAGCGCGTGTGAAACAGGAAAACAGTCCCGATGAAAATTTATATAAATTTAGATGTAATTCAGAGGCTTAATGGGAATTTAAATAGTTGTTCCAAAAGTGATTACAACTGGAGAATAAAAAATAAACTTCAGTTAAATGTTAAAATTTACAACTAATATATGTATTAAATTATGTCAAGATTAGGTATTGTATAGCATTCCTCATCATTTTCAGAATCATCTGCCACTGCTGCACCAAACAAAAAACGCCCAAAATGGATATCCATCTTCAGGTTTTGCAACGTCGGGTACTATTAGGNCTGCCACTGCTGCACCAAACAAAAAACGCCCAAAATGGATATCCATCTTCAGGTTTTGCAGCGTCGGGTACTATTAGGATGTACATGGGCCGAGTTAACAATGGGTCCGTTATTTAGTCCAAAAAAAAAAAACACCTAATAGTTGACCCACCTGAGACCAAGTCTAATATCTTTAAAAATAGGGCTTAAATTTACCAACAACCTATTATCCAGTCCGAAACCCGACTCAATAACCCGTCAAAACTCAACCCAAGAACCCACCCAAATAATTATTTAAATACTATAAATAATGTATTATTTTCTTTTTTATGTATTAAGCATACAAGTTTTATAAATTAGAGTAATGCAAATAATAGATAAATGAGTAAGTGTCAACCTAACTGAAATGCACTCAATTCTATTGGATGTAATTCATCCACTAATCAAAAATAAAATTATTCATTATTTTGATTTTATCCATTTTGACTATACTTTTGNTGAGCGCGTGTGAAACAGGAAAACAGTCCCGATGAAAATTTATATAAATTTAGATGTAATTCAGAGGCTTAATGGGAATTTAAATAGTTGTTCCAAAAGTGATTACAACTGGAGAATAAAAAATAAACTTCAGTTAAATGTTAAAATTTACAACTAATATATGTATTAAATTATGTCAAGATTAGGTATTGTATAGCATTCCTCATCATTTTCAGAATCATCTGCCACTGCTGCACCAAACAAAAAACGCCCAAAATGGATATCCATCTTCAGGTTTTGCAACGTCGGGTACTATTAGGATGTACATGGGCCGAGTTAACAATGGGTCCGTTATTTAGTCCAAAAAAAAAAAACGCCTAATAGTTGACCCACCTGAGACCAAGTCTAATATCTTTAAAAATAGGGCTTGAATTTACGAACAACCTATTATCCAGTCCGAAACCCGACTCAATAACCCGTCAAAACTCAACCTAAGAACCCACCCAAATAATTATTTAAATACTATAAATAATGTATTATTTTCTTTTTTATGTATTAAGCATACACGTTTTATAAATTAGAATAATACAAATAATAGATAAATGAGTAAGTATCAACCTAACTGAAATACACTCAAATCTATTGGATGTAATTCATCCACTAATCAAAAATAAAATAATTAATTATTTTGTTTTATCCATTTTGACTATACTTTTAATTCAAAAATATAATTCAACAAATATTAAATTATAAAAAATATTTATTATTTTTAAATAAAATTGTATATAAAAAAACCCTTTAAATAGGCCCACCCAACAAACATGTTTAATAGATTCGCGGGTTGAACTATGAGTAACCAATCCCTGCCCAAAGCCCGACTCAACCCGTCCAATAACTCACTTAGATAAAAACTTGGGTCTATACTACCTAAGTCCAGTCCGAAAAAAATTTCACGGGCTAACCCGGCCCATAAACACCTGTAGATACTACATAAAAACGAGTACTAAAATGCCAATCACATACACAGGTTGAATCACTCCCCTCCAAACGCCCAAGGACCTGTCATTCTTCAGACTTCTCTCTTTGTTGAGCTTCGGCCTTCAGGAACACATTGTAATTGCGCTTGATGGCACCACATCAACAAACAGCTATCAAAAAAGGACCATGGTCAAGCAAAGACGGGTATGAATAAATTGAATCAATTGTGCAACAGATGATCTAAATTCTCATTCATTTGCAAAGGAAGATTTAGGTTCAATTCATTCTCCGACTCAACAACATAACGGTGAACAGCAATAATGACAAGATGCCGCTGATGGGGAAATGCACAATTTATATGAGGGCCTGCACGCCAAATAGTTGCATTTCCCTAAGCTTCCATATTGCGTGTGGAACACCTTCTCCAAGTTCTTCTCTATCCACTTGTTGCATAGCCCAAGCATAGTACACAGTGTGGATGGTATCCTGATTAAGCAACAAAGTTAAGCAAGCAGAAGTTGGTAGATTTTTGTTGAACCAAATGGCTCGGCAAAAATGTAATACACATGTTCATATGCAACAAGAAGACTACATATATTTAACCCTCTCCATAACCCACAGTAAAGAGAAACTCATGCTGGGCTGCCTTATCCTACTCAATGTAATAATGATGGCGGTGAACATGATAGCATTGTTTCCATCTGTGGCAATTTGTTTTTCTGCAATCGATGACAAAGAATAGACATTGCTATCATTTTAAGCAGGCTGAACCACTCCTACCTACAATTGCATGGGATCACAGGCTTCTAGAGCTACTCGATTAGCTATGGCACCCGGTGCATTTCCGGGTGCATTTCCTTACGGGTATCCTAAAGCTCCTCCACCAAACTGTAAGTGATTCAACCTCACAAGATTACATCCACTATTTTTTTATCATCATCCTCATGTCAACACTGCTGCTTTCGACATAAATGAAAATTTATCATTTTTCCTAGTTATATATATAACTAAAAAAGGAAATTAGATGTTTTTACTGTCAATTGAACTTTCGAACACTAATTAGATTGTACACTAACACCCATCCGCCTTTATCTGCATTCCTCTTTTGTGAAACAACACCAGCATCCTTTCTGGTTTAGATTTGTTTGTTTCATGAGGCCTCCTTTTCCTAGTTTACAGTTACAGTCAACACCAAACCGTTTAACATTTCCCAGAAATACTGAATTTATCTCCAACGAACCCAACAATCAAGCAGCAACCCACCAGCGACAAACCCAACTATCAGCCAGCAACCCACCACCAACAACCCCTACCTTTGACACCCAATCCCTATCTGGTCTGGCTATTAGGATCCTCATCCACACAACCCAAACTCGCATGTGCTGTCTTATTTGCCACCTCCAATGAAGGGAGAAATGGGTGTGACAAAAGGATGTGGAGAGGAGTTGGTTAACGGTAGAGTGTTTGAAGACAGAGAGAAGGAAATTGGAGGGGCGAGATAGATTTTCTTGGGGGTGATTAAGGTGGGGCCTTTGATCAACGTAACGTCTATCGCTGCGAAAGGAATGGCAGGGACAGACACACACATAATAGGCTGGCAATGGTTCATCTCGTGTCAAAATTTGCTCAACTCATGCCTGATCCATTTTTAAGTGTGTGAATCTAGCATTGTGTCAAGTTATAAGCTATGATTATCAGGTTCTATCATGTTTCGGACTATTGTCAACGTGTTTATTTGACGAGTCCAATGACGCCACCGGTCTACTACCCAAGCCCGCTAATAAGACTAAATCCAAACACACTAATTCCAAATCGATTTTGTGTTTATAAATCACATCTAGAATTTTCAGGCCTGGATTCAAGGGTAGAAATAACAACAGCCAACTAGGGGTAGCAGGGTAATCTGCCGATGTTTAATTTGGGAATAAACAAGGTATTTCCATGTCACAGTGAATTGTAATTACAAAATAAACATATAACAAATATACATATACAGCTAGATTTCAAAACATGAAGAATACCATAAAACTAGAGCCAACAAAAGCAACCATCAAGTAATCAAAACTCATAAATTTGCCTAAAACATTATTTCAAAGAAAGATAAGAGACCTAATATCTTGAATAAGATTACAAATCCTAAAGTGAAAAAATGCAACTCAACAAGCCTTATCACAACCAATTAGGGTCGGCTAAGAGTGAAAATACTACTTGCTATCAATCATTTTTAAAAGATGTTTTCCACGTAATTCACTACAACTAACAGTGATTGAAGACATAGTATTATAGGACCACAATAGTTTGATTCAAAGTTCCAATTTATAAAATAAACCCATCCAATTCATATACACACAATGACAAATCATGCTGCAAGTATAACCAATCTGTTGGAACACACTGACCAGATAAAACAGAAAGATATGAATTTACAGCTCACACTAGCTTAATCTAAGGTTTAGTTGTATTTTCTTATTTGCAGGTATTCATATGTTCCTTATAAGCATAACTCTTTTGCATTGTTCTCATAACGTCTCTCTTATTTATACATCTTACTTTCGACTCTGTATCCTTGCCTTCCATCATGCAAAGAGGCAAATATTTAACTTTGAATCTTCACACACTACAACTCTCAACAAAATACTAGAACTTAAAAACAAAAGCAAATGGCAAGAGTTAAACCAAATGCCAATTTGACAGAATTCAATGGAAGAAATATAAGCTTACATTATCAGGTATCTTTATCTGTAGACAGATGACAAATTACAAATAATACCTAGTTTCACATATCATCATTTACTTAATGTGTGTTGTCAAGAACATAATTTTATATTCCACTAACTTTGACGGAAGATTCCAAAAGTCGTGGTTTTAATAAGAATCTAAAAATCAGATTGTAATCCTAATATTTTGGAGGCCCAGTAATACTTCTCAATAAAGTCGCAATAGAGACATGACCAGCAATTCAAGATGTGAAATGAAATAGATCACTTTCCTTCAGTGAATATATTTGGCATGGCTTCTTTTGTTTTCATAAACGGGTACAAGTTCTGCTATTCTGGGTACTTTTACCAGTTTGGATTTCTTTTGTTTCAGTTATCATTTGATAGCCAAAAGACAACAATTTACTTGTACATTTTGCAAAGATTAATGAACATATTTACTTACCAAAAAAAAAAAGAATATATTTGGCATGAATTGGACATGGAGATGACCAACACTAANTGCAAAGATTAATGAACATATTTACTTACCAAAAAAAAAAAAAAGAATATATTTGGCATGAATTGGACATAGAGATGACCAACACTAGTTGCTAATGAAAAGAAACATAGCTTCAGAATCCATGCCAGCTATTTGCCACATATATATCTGGGCAGTTCATAGTTCCACAACAATAAAATAGGTTTAGGATTTACCTTGCTCCCCTCTTTTATTGAGCCAAGTCTATCACGTACACAATATATCTGCTGCGTCTGGAACTGTAAACATTTCCACCAAAAGAGCCATTAGTACAATTTTTTGCTTTCAAAATCACATAAAAAGGAAGACAATTTTAACAATTGAAAGTTGAAGAGGTGCCTACCCCCACAATGATTATGGGAGAGTCCCCCATCATTTTGGTCTCTCTCAATTCGACGTCAGATATGTGTAGAATCTGCATTAAGGAGTAGAATAAGCCACATCCCATAATGTTTCTCAAAACATTCGACTTCCAATATCAGTTTTACAATTGGGCTCAAGTCCTCCATTAAGATGACCTAAAACTAGTCCAAGACCTGATTTATCAGAAGCTTCACACAAAACATAAGATCTTGTAGTTGAATTTTTCAGTGAATAAACGAAACCACTCGAACACAAAAAGGCCAGCAATTCTGTACTTAAGTCCGACACTGGTGAGCACTTGCTACTTTATTTCTTCCCAAAAAAAAATGAGCATGGATGTCAGAAAAATAAGCAACAGAAGATGTTATAATCCTAAATGTCTTGATTTAATCAGTCACAGACTCACCAAAAAAGGATCAGATGGGAAGATGCCACGCAATATAAGGTAATGATAACTTCATCAGGCAATTTTCAAACCAAAAACCCCTTGATCCCCGTTTTCAAAAAACCCAATGGCACACATATGCATCAGCTATGCCAACAGCATAAGATGTTAATACCCTTTTTTATATTAATTCCATATGATATCAAATACAAAGACTGTTTATCTAGCACGCCTCAAGTAGGATAGGAACATAAATGCAAAAGCACATGGTAGAAAGAGAGAGGGAAGGAAAGACAGAGAGAGATTATTACAGAGTTAGCCATCAAATCTCATAGTTAGTAGCAGGTGATCACGTGGGTGTGCAGCATAGTGACAAATCAGGTTTCATGAATTATTCGGCATTGCCAAAACTGGATAATTTGAGCAATATTTGGAGATGTTTAGACAACCATCAGCAATATCTAGGTGTGAAATTCAAAACTCATCCTCAAATTTGTGAATATTCTAGTAGATGCACATAATTTCATAAGAATTCACATTTTACAATAGCAGATATGGATTACTCATTTAACCAGCAATCTCTTATAAAATAACAAATGTAATCAAAAAAATAGAAACATGGGTATTAAATACCCATATGAACATATAATTCTATACAAAAAAATTCGAAATAGAAAAGCTGTCAATGTTAAGTAATGTCACCTTCGAATTATTTCAAATAAAATAAATTCAGGAATCTTAATTTGTATGTTATAATTCAAGATCTGGATAAATGTAAGGATTCCTCAGAAAATTGGAGAATTTTGTTCCTGTTGACGGTCCTCACTCTTGCACACATCAAGTGTGACAGATATTGAGAGATTCATAACTGGCAATCAAGCAATTATACATATGTATTCAAATGGGACAAAGAAGACAATGTGACGGAAGTCTGTTGATAGTTATTAAAACACCAAGCTAGCAAGACTAGACCGCAACACTAACCTAGGTGCCCGAGGGCTCCAGGCAATGCACGTTATAAAAATAATGTCATGCTTGATGATTCAACTCCTTCCAATCTTTCTCACCTCATATCTTTGTTGGAATGTACTTACACAGCAAAATATGATACCGGAATTATTTTATCAAACAATAAATAACTATTTAAATACAGAGCACCAACAGAGTAATTATTTAAATGTTCAAACCTAGAAAATAAAGGGAAAAAAAGCAAGCCAAATATAAGGACTTCTGTTGTCGTACCTTGTTATCAAAAAAGATACCCTGGCTTTCATATGCCTTATGCTCTGCCTTACATCTCTCTGCCACTTCAGAACTACAATACTTATTCAAGACTTCGATATCTCCCTATAAAGAATGGAACACAGTGACACACCCATTATATCATTCCGATAAAAATTTCACAGCCAATATATTGATAACTATTTTAAGAGATATGAAAAGATATTTAAGAAGGGCAAAAGATAAGAGTGAAAAAGGAACAGGATGAGGTTGAGCTTTTCTTTTTCTTCTGCTGAGAGAGGGAGAGAGAAGGTAAGGAAGTCTTCTGGGCTGTCACATGTATACGTACCTTTATGTATGCAGTAAGGACTGGTCTAACCACTTCTTGGACCTCAGCAACAAATTCTGGTAAAGAGAAAGATCTAGCACAATGCATATTACATATTACATGAATCAGACAACAGGTTATTGGAATACACAAAATGGAAAAAAGGTAAAAATGCAACAGGATGCATCATACGGATCTCGCTGACGTATTTCCTTGAATGACATTGCAGCAGCCGTTTCTCCAAATACACTTTCATTGATACTGTCACATAGAAGGTGGCCATAATACTACTCTCAGAATCATATTAACAAACTGAAGTCAATCATACGTAAAACATATGCATGGTAACATACTCCTGAATTTTGTGTACAACAGGGTGATCACTAGTGTCCCACATCTCCTGCATGTCTTCCTTGATCTGCCAATTCCATCCCACACAGCATTTAGAATGATTAGCCTCGAAATATGCATAATTAGTCACTATTGTTTAGTTAATAACATTATTTTGGGAGTTAAATGTGCTTGAATTCTGAAGTTCTAGGTTTTGTTTCAAATTTGTAGTGTTTGACTTGCTTGTAGGTAAAGGAGACCAAAATAACCAAATGGGAAGCAAACATGCAAAGTAGGATGGAGCTTGGAGTATTTGGAGTAAGAATAGAGCCATTCCAGAATGTTTGGTGCGTCCTGACGCGGTTTAGGACAGTCCAAACAAGAGAAAGTTACTAGAAATTGGATTCAAGAGAAAGAAAAAGAAGAAAACCTAAGAGTTTGGTGTGTTTGGACGGAAGTTTCACACGTCTGGACACGACTGCCAAAGAATTACTGATGATTCACTTGTGTCCATACGCCCATTCCATGGGTCCAAACGAGATCCTTCTTTTGCTTGTTGACTGCTCTTTGACTTGTAATAGGTTTAGACTACCTTTATAACCTATAAATACCTAGTTATACCCTAAATTGGGTTGTTCCCCAATCACTAGCTTTTTCTTCTAGTTTTCTTGTAATCTTGTTTATGAATTGCTAAATTTCCAACTAAAGTGATGGGTGATTCTTGCAATAAAATACAGTATGTGTTTTTTATCCAAGGTTCTTTACTGCATGATTATTTTTATTAATTGATTCTTATGGTTTTATTAAAAAAATTTATCTCTAAAATATATTGATTTGTTATCCAACGTACATCGAATGCTTTAGATTCACTGCGAGTCAAATAACTGATTTTGTATGTCTGAATCAATTACTTGGGATTTTTATTGTTTGTCTTAAAAATAAGTTTTAATTGTTGAAAAGCTTAATTAATCATTGACTCTGAGAACAGTGAATGTTTGGGATCTACAATTAAATACTTGTTTTTATTCAGATAATTTATCTATTATACCTTTTATTTTCAATATATTCACCACTAAATCTTTTGACTAAAGTCCTCCTTTGCTAATTTTTAATTGAGTTTGAAAACCGGATTAGAATAAATATTATGTGTAATTGAAAGAGGATCCGTTCTGCTTTAGTATTTCTCAGTTGTTATTTTCAACCAAAATCTACTGTTTTCTTAAACAACTTATTTCTTTAATAGTTTTCAAAGAAATTTTTCTTTTATTTTGTTATTGTGCTCCAAGTTTTCTCCAATTTCCTGTGATACGACCTCGGACTCCCAAGAATATAACCTGCACTTGGGTTAACATTCTTAAAGTTGTAGCATAGATCACAAACTTCTAGACGGGTAAACGAAAACAGTAACCAAATCATCCATCATATAAAAACAAAAAATGCAATGCAGACAACTTATGCAGACAAAAAATGTTACTTCTTGAGAAGATCACAATGCATGTGTTGAGTGTAATAAGTTGTGGTATTGGTCGTAGAACATGAAAACAGAAAGTAGGATGAGAAGTAACAAGAACAACACAAACGAGTGATATTAAAAAAAAACCTCAGGGGGACATTCAACCAATACTACACTGTTTTTGCCCCCTTTCAACACCTAGCTCTTCCACAATCACAATATCCATAATATAAAAATAGCGGCACAAGCAACCAAGAATAACTCACTAAACAAATAAAAATAGGAATTATTGATAATGAAAACAAGAAAACTAAGCAATCAACTTAGAAATATATCATGAATATTCTGGATCGCACATCAGCAATCCAGTTTGCATAACATTGAACACACTTCCACTAAGTCGGTACCCACACAGTCACTCCTGTAAAATTTCAAACCATGCCAAAGTTTTTTTCCGATTCATGCCAAGTTCAAGAGAGCTAAAATATGAGTGAACGAGGGAATTGCTGCCTGGTGAGCTTATAGTGGTTCCACCCTATGCTACATATTCCAGTGGTCCTGCCCTAATTGCAAAGAAATATTAATATAAATATTTTGTTGTTGCAATGACTATATAAACAAAACTCATTACCAATGGGCTTTTGGTCCAACGGTATTCCTTGATTTGTGAAGGCGGTCAAGGGTTCAAGTTCCCCTTCCCCTTCCCAAAATAAATAAATAAACAAAACTCATTATCAAATTGACAAGTGATAAAATCCATATATGATATCCATACTTGGTACTTTAAAATGTTTTTGAACGAACTAAATATCAGCTAACATTAAACTTCTCTCAACTCAGTCCTTTGCTAGCATATACAACTGAGAATTGCACCTGGCATCTGATGCCAAGTGCCATATTAAAGTGCACAGGCTGGTATGAATGAGGAAAACTGAGACATATATTTCATCATTTTGAATATGGCATACCTCCCGGCTCTTTGTCACAACAGGTTCACTTAAGCCACTGACACGCTTGAATATAGGATGGCCTTGCGTCTGGGAGAAAAGGACAAGCTGTTTCAATTGAAATACATAAAGGAAAAACAATAATAACTTTTCTTATGAATCCAGAGAGCCCCCACGAGTTATTACCGTACCTTTTCTTTGAATGCCTCCCAAGTTTTACTCCATCGAGACTGCTTAGAGGGTAGGACAACAACATCAGTTCTTGAATTCCTTTCACCTTGAGATGAGGGGCCTGTGGAAGAAGCTGTATATTCAAGGTGCTTTCTCTTATGTGGGTTACCGCTCAAGTCATCCTTTACAATGTGGTAACCCTTCTTCGCTAAGTCAATAGGCTTTGCTTCCTTTAATTTCTGGAAGGCCAGTGAAACCTTAGGAGAAATGGAAGAAACGCTGGACTTGATTTTGCTAAATACTGTTTCTGTAGTATCAGTAGGCCCTGATTGCTGCTGCTTTTCTTCTCCAAATGCGGACTTGCTTCCGTCTTTCATCTTAAAACCATAATTAGCAGAATCACCAGCTGACCCTGAAGGCTCTTGCTTCCCCATCCCAAAACTTCCTTTGACCTAACCATGAACCATTTACCCAAAATTAATTATCACATTCTTCTTGATTCTTCACTAGAAGCACTACATTCTGAATCACCTAATAATATGAATAGTAGCACACACCTCGTCTGTGGCAGCTGAAATTTTTTCCTCCACATTGACATAAACCTACCAGAGAACATAATTATCAAACAAAATAGGATAAACCTGACAAAATAAATTTTAACTACACTTACTCTTACCGACCAACCAAGGGCAACTAGATTACTAGAGAGAAGCAGTTGTCATAACAACTTGCCTCAAAGTAAGCAATACAACTGCCAAAACATCTTCACTCCAGGAAGTACAAGAAACCCAACTCAGAAACGACACAAAATGACAAAAACCAATAGGGAAGGAGAAAGGAAAAGAAATATTGCTCTTTTGCCACCACTTAAGCAAAAATGTTTTTCTAATACCTACCAATTCTCATCCTTTAGTTCAATATTTTAGAAGCTACTTGGAGAGCTATGAAAAATAACTTCCCATCTGACCTTCTTTGCCGTGGCTTCAGCCTCTGTCCACACACCATCCACATGCTTGTACAGCTGCTCAGTTGTTTGCTTCGTTCTGCATTCGCCAGTTCACCATCTCAGTGCCTCCATTGTTGTCTGCCCAGCCTTGACATACAACAGTATGTCTCAGCCTATAAACCAATCAAAGCAATAAATAAAGAATATATGAATTCAAGTGTCTTCATGAAGTTACCTAACTTTCAAGTCTTCTTTCACCCCTTTCAGCTCTTCCGTTTTCTCCTTCAGTTCCTTGACTGACTGCTGGAATTCCTGATTTCTGAAATCAAGAGAATTGAGATATTAAGTAGAAGACATGTCCCAGGGACTAGAGGATGTATAGATATCGTAAAGCGTAAAATCAATCATCTTGAATTTAAAAACAAAAGAATTCAACTTTCTAAACTTTAAAACAATAAAGAACCCATTCTCTCTCTCAAAACTGACATTAACAGCGGAATACCTGTTGGCTTCGCCTTTAACCTTCTTGGAAAGCTCATTAAAGACACTAAATTGACGGCTACCCACATACCCATTTGCAGGAAGTAATCTTATTCTTGTACCTGAAGTCGAAACCTAGCCAAAAGAATAATGAGTGTTGAGTACAGTCAAATAGGAATACAGAGAGAGGAAAGAACAAAAGAAAGGGTGTATGGCCAGACCTGTGAGGATGCTAATAGGTGGCGAAAAAGGGGCTGCTTCGACAGGAATAAGTCTCGGACCAGCTTTCTGCTAGACATCTTCGGAGGTTGTATCACTTTCTCGAGAAAACTCCCGTCTTTCTTCCCAAGAAAATTAAATAAGTAAATTTTTTTCTGAGATTAAAAACTATCAGCACGAATATTCATCTATTCTAGGGTTCGTTCGAGTCGCAAGAAACGCTCTGGTAGGGTCGAATGAACGGAGTAGAGGTTTGGGATTCTGGAAATGGGTGCTTTGCCGGAGTTAATTGCAGGCACACTGGATCGGGTGATGGACCGCCAGGGTTTCTGATTTTATCCTTGAGTTGAGTCGGTGAGAGAAAAGCCTAGGCCCATGCTTAAAACGAAGCCCATACATAACGGGCCGCCCGGACCCAACACGAGCTTATCCGAAAATATAGATAATTACATTAGATTTAGATTTAAAAAATTTATAATTTCCTATCCAATTTAAATCCAAGCAATTCGTGGCTTAAGCCATAGATTTTTGACACCCAACTCGAAATTCCTAATTCAAGCTGAAATTACATTTTAAGCCCGAATTGTGTACTAATCAAGTGTCAATCTATGTTGACAGAAAATTTCAGGGTGAGAATGTAACATAAATTTCAGCCCAAATTATGCAATCCCAAGTTGAAAAATCTAAGTATGAATGGTATTCAAGTTTTAGAATACAAGTATTATGAATCTCTCAACTTGCATCTAATTTTCATCTGTTTGATTCGAATTATGTGTCCATGAATAGACTAAATCAGTACTAACACATGATATTATCATTTAATAATAACATAATATATAAAATAAATCAACCCACTATTCCAACGTAAAAAGGTAATTGAATGGGAGAGATTATAGATACTTATTAAATGCCTGATTTTTTATAACTCAGGTTTAATTTCTTCTTATATCTTTTAAGGATTAGTCATTTTTATCCTTTTAAGAATATCCTGTAATTTAATTCAAATTATAATAATTAACCACTGAAATTCAAAGAATAACGGACGCAAACATGATTTACTTGTAACAAAAAAAAAAAATATATATATATATATAGCAAAATCTACTTAATCAAGGTGGTATTTTATAATTAGTTAATGATATGATGAGTAATTGAAGACGTGACAATGAACATTTTAACAGCGACGCAATGACACACTTCGTTACATTACTATTGTTCCAAATCTAAGTACAGTTCTCATTGGCCTCAGAAAACTGTTGGGCCTGAATTTCAGCAGCCTTCTCCGATACCAAAGCTTGTATGACCGCCGTCTTCACTTCCCAAGCAGAATATGGGTAGCCCTTCCTGGAGTAAGAGTTGAGCAACGCCGCCGTCGACTCCTTCACTAGCCGTACAAACACATTCTCGCCGTCATCGTTCCTCGAAGTCGCTTCCAAGAGAGTCAGATCGTATCTGTACCGTTCGTAAGCTCTCGAACCGAACACTTTCGACACCGTCGACATCTCTGGCACCATTTTCGGCCATGACTCCCTCCTGCTGCTCCAAAACCTGCCATGTAACCATTGTCAAATGGTTTGTAGGATTTCGAGTGGGCGATTGAGTTGACTCGGACGAGATCGGTGACTCGGATGAGTTTCAATCCGAGTCAACTCAATACATCAGAACACATGGTGGGTGTTCAAGATGAAGACATTTGGTGAGAGTTGAACACTCTGGACTCGTAAGTTAAGAACCCATAATCTCTCTTAATCTCCTCCGTTTTTTCAAAAATAAAAACTTACTGGGTTCAAAAGAAGAAGAGGGGGGGCCGGGGTGGAGAGAGAGAAGGATCTTACTGTGGAGTGCATCTTCCCCTGTTTCTTGTGTAGAGAAACCCAGGTCTTGGGTTATCAGCGGCTGCTTCGGTTGCTGCTGCCAGGCTCGCAAGAAAGAGACCAAGGACGAGTCGACTCAGTAGTACGGAAGCCATTCCTAANATTTTCATCTGTTTGATTCGAATTATGTGTCCATGAATAGACTAAATCAGTACTAACACATGATATTATCATTTAATAATAACATAATATATAAAATAAATCAACCCACTATTCCAACGTAAAAAGGTAATTGAATGGGAGAGATTATAGATACTTATTAAATGCCTGATTTTTTATAACTCAGGTTTAATTTCTTCTTATATCTTTTAAGGATTAGTCATTTTTATTCTTTTAAGAATATCCTGTAATTTAATTCAAATTATAATAATTAACCACTGAAATTCAAAGAATAACGGACGCAAACATGATTTACTTGTAACAAAAAAAAAAAATATATATATATATATAGCAAAATCTACTTAATCAAGGTGGTATTTTATAAGTAGTTAATGATATGATGAGTAATTGAAGACGTGACAATGAACATTTTAACAGCAACGCAATGACACACTTCGTTACATTACTATTGTTGCAGATCTAAGTACAGTTCTCATTGGCCTCAGAAAACTGTTGGGCCTGAATTTCAGCAGCCTTCTCCGATACCAAAGCTTGTATGACCGCCGTCTTCACTTCCCAAGCAGAATATGGGTAGCCCTTCCTGGAGTAAGAGTTGAGCAACGCCGCCGTCGACTCCTTCACTAGCCGTACAAACACATTCTCGCCGTCATCGTTCCTCGAAGTCGCTTCCAAGAGAGTCAGATCGTATCTGTACCGTTCGTAAGCTCTCGAACCGAACACTTTCGACACCGTCGACATCTCTGGCACCATTTTCGGCCATGACTCCCTCCTGCTGCTCCAAAACCTGCCATGTAACCATTGTCAAATGGTTTGTAGGATTTCGAGTGGGCGATTGAGTTGACTCGGACGAGATCGGTGACTCGGATGAGTTTCAATCCGAGTCAACTCAATACATCAGAACACATGGTGGGTGTTCAAGATGAAGACATTTGGTGAGAGTTGAACACTCTGGACTCGTAAGTTAAGAACCCATAATCTCTCTTAATCTCCTCCGTTTTTTCAAAAATAAAAACTTACTGGGTTCAAAAGAAGAAGAGGGGGGGCCGGGGTGGAGAGAGAGAAGGATCTTACTGTGGAGTGCATCTTCCCCTGTTTCTTGTGTAGAGAAACCCAGGTCTTGGGTTATCAGCGGCTGCTTCGGTTGCTGCTGCCAGGCTCGCAAGAAAGAGACCAAGGACGAGTCGACTCAGTAGTACGGAAGCCATTCCTAACTCCTTCTTCTTCTTCTTATTAGTAAAAGTGGGTGAGCTTCCAAAGGTTACNATATATATATATATATAGCAAAATCTACTTAATCAAGGTGGTATTTTATAATTAGTTAATGATATGATGAGTAATTGAAGACGTGACAATGAACATTTTAACAGCGACGCAATGACACACTTCGTTACATTACTATTGTTCCAAATCTAAGTACAGTTCTCATTGGCCTCAGAAAACTGTTGGGCCTGAATTTCAGCAGCCTTCTCCGATACCAAAGCTTGTATGACCGCCGTCTTCACTTCCCAAGCAGAATATGGGTAGCCCTTCCTGGAGTAAGAGTTGAGCAACGCCGCCGTCGACTCCTTCACTAGCCGTACAAACACATTCTCGCCGTCATCGTTCCTCGAAGTCGCTTCCAAGAGAGTCAGATCGTATCTGTACCGTTCGTAAGCTCTCGAACCGAACACTTTCGACACCGTCGACATCTCTGGCACCATTTTCGGCCATGACTCCCTCCTGCTGCTCCAAAACCTGCCATGTAACCATTGTCAAATGGTTTGTAGGATTTCGAGTGGGCGATTGAGTTGACTCGGACGAGATCGGTGACTCGGATGAGTTTCAATCCGAGTCAACTCAATACATCAGAACACATGGTGGGTGTTCAAGATGAAGACATTTGGTGAGAGTTGAACACTCTGGACTCGTAAGTTAAGAACCCATAATCTCTCTTAATCTCCTCCGTTTTTTCAAAAATAAAAACTTACTGGGTTCAAAAGAAGAAGAGGGGGGGCCGGGGTGGAGAGAGAGAAGGATCTTACTGTGGAGTGCATCTTCCCCTGTTTCTTGTGTAGAGAAACCCAGGTCTTGGGTTATCAGCGGCTGCTTCGGTTGCTGCTGCCAGGCTCGCAAGAAAGAGACCAAGGACGAGTCGACTCAGTAGTACGGAAGCCATTCCTAACTTCTTCTTCTTCTTATTAGTAAAAGTGGGTGAGCTTCCAAAGGTTACATAAATGGGATCTGAGATTTTGAGATCTCTGCAGCTACTGAGCATGTTAGTTGGTTCAGTGCTAAATATATCGCTTCGTGCTAAATACATCGCTTCAAATCAAGGTCTCTTTCTCGTAACTATCGTTTTCACCTTTTCTTGGACAAATCTACCCCTGTATTGCTTTTTAGTAAATTACACATATAACCTCCAAATTATGACCTTTGTATGAATTAAGTCCTTGAACTTTTTATTGTATCAATTAAATCCTTAAATTCTCTAATTGTATCAATTGAGTCTTTTTGTCTGCCTCTTTTAGAGTGTGTCACACATATGACCATATGACATAAAAAGACAAAATGACTTCATTGACATAATTAGAGAATTTAAGAACTCAATTGACACAAAAAAAAAATTTAAAAACTTAATTGATGTAAGAGTCATTTTTTAAAGATCATATATATAGTTTACTACAATCATTCTTATACACTCCACTACTTATCGTTAAAAAATCTAATGGAAGAGTAGACAAAATAAGTTAATTGACACAATTAGAAAGTTCAATTGATATAAAAAAAATTAAGAATTTAATTGACACAAGAGTCTTAGTTTGAAGACACAAAAATAAGAGCTAATCTTAAATTGTACCCTGAAAGATGATTCAAATTCAGTTTGTACCTTTAAAGTTTAAAAATATCAATTTATAGTTATATCTCATGCTTGAAAGCACAAAGAAACATAAAATTCGAGCGACTAAAAAATCAATTTCACTTATCAAATGACAATATTTTCCTTTCATTTATTTGATTGTATCATTTAAAATTTATTTTACCCATTATTTTCTTACAAATATAGGCAAAAGGTTCTCAAAATATGTAATCAGAAATTTTTTTTTCAACATATGTATGTTATGTTATATAGATAATGTATGAATAAAAATTATGTTAAAATACAAATTAATTAAATATTAAATGATTGAGCATATGATAAGATAGACGATGTGATGGAATTGAGGGAAAAAATATGTAGGAGAAAAATTTTAATTTCTTATGTGATTTATTATATAGATATCTTAAAAGACATAAATTTATATCAATGTTCATTGGGGGTTAACTGCAGCCTATTTTGCCGTTAAAAAAGTTTAGACTAATTGGAAATTACATCTTCAAATTTAAATATTTTACATTTATGATCCAAAAAATTTTTATTCATTAATACTCGTTAAATATCTCTCAATTTTGTTGTATCATAACATTTTCAAGTCGTGTCAGTTTGTGTCATGTCGTATTTTTTGTGTGGTGTTCGAGTCAATAAAAAATTATTTTTGGCACAAAATATTTTTTTGTCGAGTTAATTGTATTGTGTTGTATATTTCACATTTACGACAATTTATATAAAATATTTAGAGTCGTTTGGTTACGTTTTTGTTTTCGCGTTTTCAAAAAAATAAAAAACAAAGATAATTTTTGTTTTGTTTTGTAGTAAATNTTTATCCTTGAGTTGAGTCGGTGAGAGAAAAGCCTAGGCCCATGCTTAAAACGAAGCCCATACATAACGGGCCGCCCGGACCCAACACGAGCTTATCCGAAAATATAGATAATTACATTAGATTTAGATTTAAAAAATTTATAATTTCCTATCCAATTTAAATCCAAGCAATTCGTGGCTTAAGCCATAGATTTTTGACACCCAACTCGAAATTCCTAATTCAAGCTGAAATTACATTTTAAGCCCGAATTGTGTACTAATCAAGTGTCAATCTATGTTGACAGAAAATTTCAGGGTGAGAATGTAACATAAATTTCAGCCCAAATTATGCAATCCCAAGTTGAAAAATCTAAGTATGAATGGTATTCAAGTTTTAGAATACAAGTATTATGAATCTCTCAACTTGCATCTAATTTTCATCTGTTTGATTCGAATTATGTGTCCATGAATAGACTAAATCAGTACTAACACATGATATTATCATTTAATAATAACATAATATATAAAATAAATCAACCCACTATTCCAACGTAAAAAGGTAATTGAATGGGAGAGATTATAGATACTTATTAAATGCCTGATTTTTTATAACTCAGGTTTAATTTCTTCTTATATCTTTTAAGGATTAGTCATTTTTATTCTTTTAAGAATATCCTTTAATTTAATTCAAATTATAATAATTAACCACTGAAATTCAAAGAATAACGGACGCAAACATGATTTACTTGTAACAAAAAAAAAAAATATATATATATATATAGCAAAATCTACTTAATCAAGGTGGTATTTTATAAGTAGTTAATGATATGATGAGTAATTGAAGACGTGACAATGAACATTTTAACAGCAACGCAATGACACACTTCGTTACATTACTATTGTTGCAGATCTAAGTACAGTTCTCATTGGCCTCAGAAAACTGTTGGGCCTGAATTTCAGCAGCCTTCTCCGATACCAAAGCTTGTATGACCGCCGTCTTCACTTCCCAAGCAGAATATGGGTAGCCCTTCCTGGAGTAAGAGTTGAGCAACGCCGCCGTCGACTCCTTCACTAGCCGTACAAACACATTCTCGCCGTCATCGTTCCTCGAAGTCGCTTCCAAGAGAGTCAGATCGTATCTGTACCGTTCGTAAGCTCTCGAACCGAACACTTTCGACACCGTCGACATCTCTGGCACCATTTTCGGCCATGACTCCCTCCTGCTGCTCCAAAACCTGCCATGTAACCATTGTCAAATGGTTTGTAGGATTTCGAGTGGGCGATTGAGTTGACTCGGACGAGATCGGTGACTCGGATGAGTTTCAATCCGAGTCAACTCAATACATCAGAACACATGGTGGGTGTTCAAGATGAAGACATTTGGTGAGAGTTGAACACTCTGGACTCGTAAGTTAAGAACCCATAATCTCTCTTAATCTCCTCCGTTTTTTCAAAAATAAAAACTTACTGGGTTCAAAAGAAGAAGAGGGGGGGCCGGGGTGGAGAGAGAGAAGGATCTTACTGTGGAGTGCATCTTCCCCTGTTTCTTGTGTAGAGAAACCCAGGTCTTGGGTTATCAGNTATATAAAATATTTAGAGTCGTTTGGTTACGTTTTTGTTTTCGCGTTTTCAAAAAAATAAAAAACAAAGATAATTTTTGTTTTGTTTTGTAGTAAATATTGAAAACAAAAAATATGTTTGAAAGTCATTTTGTGTGTTATCAAATTATGAAAATAAAAATAAAAAGCATATTTGATAACCACTTCAATACATTACTTCAATCACAAATGATAATTCAATCCTACTCTCAATTCAGTCTCAAATGACAATTCAATTTTTTTTTTCAATAAAGAATTTAATTGAATAAATCCATAATTACAAGAATCAATTGAAGGAATAAACCTGAACCTATACATTTTGGATTTTATCCTTCAAAATATTCTAAAATCAACAACATTATTCCCATGATCACGATCCTTACAAGCAACAAAAAACCTTTTCTTCCTCACAACAACACTTCCCAGCAACTGGATGCAATCTAGAGGCAAAACCCCTTCTTTCCTCAAAACAATGTCCACTCGCACTTGAGAATCAAATTCAATGAAAATCTGATACAGCTCCAAGTTGTATCTCAAACACACACACAGAAGGATTACCTCCCTGTTTGTGAGAGAGAGGAGAGGAGATGACTGTTCTCCGTTGGTGATGGTGGGAGAGACAATAGAGAAAGTGAGGCAACGATAGAGAGAATTAGAAAGAGTGAAGCAGCGATGGAGAAGGGAGAGAAATGAAGTGAGTTTAAAATAGTTTTACGAAAAAAGACTATTTTTGTTCCTAAGTAAGTTCAAATACCGAATCTCATTAACTCTTTTAGCACGTGTTTTTGTTTTACCATGTTTCCAAAAATATCTTTTTTTTCATTATTTTAGAATTAACTTATTTTATATAAAATACAAACCCAAACATATTTTTGTTTTTGTTTTACTCAAAAAATGAAAACAAAAACACAAAATACGAAACAAAAACATGAAACAAACACCCCTTTATTTTTTGCTTACAATACTCATTAAATATATATTTTTTCTTTAAAGTTATACATGATATGACACAATTGAGAACTATTTAATAAGAATTAATTGATATAATTCTTTTTAGATCATAAATACGAAATATTTAAACTTTAAAGGTGTAATTTATAACTAGTCTAAACTTTTTTAATTAATTTCAGGTGCACATTGATATGAATTTATATCTTTTAGGGTTCAAAGTAATAATTTTAAATTTTGAGGGTGTAAATTGAAATTTGAGTGATCTTTCGGAATGAAAGTTGAGATCAACCCCAAAAATAATAATATTATTTATATATATTTTTTTTAAAAATAACTACTGCATTGTTGTTTATTAAATAATAAAATTAGGATGATCCAAAATGAGAGGCATCGAGAAATGATTGAATTGAAAAGGCACACCCACCATTGTATATGCATCATTAATATTAGAATAATCAAATTTTGGGATTAAATTTAAAGTTCAAATGACTAATCAGCTGTTATTGGGGCTCAAATGATATAACTCCAATAAAAAAATCTTAAATCAATTGTCATGTCATTTAGACTCTAAATTTAATCTCAAAATTTAATAAGCGCAGCATTACTCGTATATGTATTAGGCATCTCAAAACACAGAAGGATTATTCATTCTTTAAAACTGGTTCCCTCTTACATAGAAGATATATATTTATTTAATACNTGCCGGTGTCAAGCAAAACAACGGCAATAAGATCTCTTTCACCGTCATTGTACACCCAATGTGCTGCCCCAGCTGGGTATGCCACAAAGTCACCCTGTCGAAGGTGTCTGATTCTCTGATGGCGATCCTGGAAACTCTGGCCTTCTCGTTCTGCTCGTTCTTGCTGAGATTGCTGGGATGATTGGAAGGTTTCGGGACAACCAGGCAGAATAACCCCATGAATACCCCGACCTGTACAATACAAGTCATATGAACATCACAGTTTCAATGACACTACATTGTTATATTAGTTCAACCCATCAAAAAGCAGAATTGCCTGAAATCACACCTTCGACAATGTAGACAAGTAGGGGTGAGTTGGTGTAAGAGGGCAAAAGAAGGCCTCTGGGTTGGATAGTATGGCGAATAACCGACACCCCAGCACACTGGAGTTGCTCATTCCTCGAGTCCCACAACTCGGTTACGCCGGCTTCTGCTTGGACATATTCTCTGGGTTCGAGGGCGGTGAGTCTCTGGATTTGGCACTCACTTTGCTGCTGCTGTCCTCGTTGCCGAGCAATGCAGCCATGGAAGAGCAGAAGAAAACTCAGAAACAGAGAGAACAAGGAAGCTGGCTTAGCCATTGTAATAACACCTGATAGAGTGAAGAGGAAGACTGGTTGTGGAATGTGGTGAAGTGGTGAGTGGAAAGTGTGTGCATTTATAGATAGGATGGGTGGGTCAGGGCTTGACACATATCAGAGAATTGGTGAAGAATGTGCCTGCCATCTTGCACTTTGCATGGCTACNGAATTCGTATTAAAATGAACACCTAAAATTGCAAAGAGATTGGATTTCGGAATGGGCTAATATCCTTACCTTGTAGAGAACTCCCCTCCCAGCACTAAGTTGGAGGAATTTGAGAACGGGCATTGTGAGGCTGTTGAGGGTGCTAAGGCGACCTGCTCGTGGATTGTATATATCGGCACGAGAGGGATTTTCTAGGTTCTCTTGGAGCCTTGTGCTGCAGATAGTCTCGTCCAAGCCATTTCCACGCTCTCCCCGTTCTTGTTCTTCCCTGCTCAATGGTGGCTGGACTACTGAAAGCCCTCGCTCAGCTCTTACAATGTGGCCTCTCTGGTCGTCTTCACCTCGAAGCTTTTGTGCTGTCTCTGTGTCCACTCTAAATGCCTCCGCCAATGTCTGAACATCAATGCCGCGGAAAATGTTGCCAAAACCCCCTTCTTGGCCACTGTGACGACCGTGTTGTTGTTGTTGTTGTTTTTGTTCTCGATCTGGGTTTCCGGCAATAAAGAATCTCTGCAGCATCAAAAAAACTTGGTGCATGTCAAACCAAGTACTAACAACACTAAAACCACCACCAAGGATCTAAAGTGTATTTAGACTATCAAGCAACAATTTAGTTTAGGTAAAATCAGATAATAATGAGTAGTTTTACAATAGGATCACGATCAAGCTGGTTGGCATTGTTGCCGGTGTCAAGCAAAACAACGGCAATAAGATCTCTTTCACCGTCATTGTACACCCAATGTGCTGCCCCAGCTGGGTATGCCACAAAGTCACCCTGTCGAAGGTGTCTGATTCTCTGATGGCGATCCTGGAAACTCTGGCCTTCTCGTTCTGCTCGTTCTTGCTGAGATTGCTGGGATGATTGGAAGGTTTCGGGACAACCAGGCAGAATAACCCCATGAATACCCCGACCTGTACAATACAAGTCATATGAACATCACAGTTTCAATGACACTACATTGTTATATTAGTTCAACCCATCAAAAAGCAGAATTGCCTGAAATCACACCTTCGACAATGTAGACAAGTAGGGGTGAGTTGGTGTAAGAGGGCAAAAGAAGGCCTCTGGGTTGGATAGTATGGCGAATAACCGACACCCCAGCACACTGGAGTTGCTCATTCCTCGAGTCCCACAACTCGGTTACGCCGGCTTCTGCTTGGACATATTCTCTGGGTTCGAGGGCGGTGAGTCTCTGGATTTGGCACTCACTTTGCTGCTGCTGTCCTCGTTGCCGAGCAATGCAGCCATGGAAGAGCAGAAGAAAACTCAGAAACAGAGAGAACAAGGAAGCTGGCTTAGCCATTGTAATAACACCTGATAGAGTGAAGAGGAAGACTGGTTGTGGAATGTGGTGAAGTGGTGAGTGGAAAGTGTGTGCATTTATAGATAGGATGGGTGGGTCAGGGCTTGACACATATCAGAGAATTGGTGAAGAATGTGCCTGCCATCTTGCACTTTGCATGGCTACCAGACGCTAACATCTTACACCTAATAGTTACTGGTAAGATTGGTGGCCTCATCTTTCTGAGAAGAAAACAAAGAGGTCTGTTGGTTTCTGAGATCCTTTGAGGTGGTTTTTGAGTGGGTTTTAGGTGCATCACGACAGATCAACTGGGTCTTTATTAAATGTATTTGTTGAAGTGTTTTATATATCAGAGTTCATGAGTTTGAGTTACGGAAACAGATTCTCAATTTGCCGGGTAAGAATATGTATACTTAGTCCTTCTTAAACCTTATAATAATGAGAGTCTCGTATACAAAATACGTCGCTAATAGACATTCAGTATATTACTTAAAGTTAGAGCAAGGGTGATATTAATATTATGGTTTAATACCGTGCGACTGAACCATAATATTATCTCTTTTTTTAATACAATATCGAAAAATAATCTTTTGATTTTGATGATACTTAGAGTAATTCCCAAGTATGAGCTCAGGAGCGGAGGTTAAACGCACAGAGCTCATAAAACCAGAGTAAAGTCCAGCTCAATCGAAACAACAACGGAAGTAATAAATAGATAGTTATTTATCAACAGAAATCCTAGAGGTAGCAAAGAGTCATAATCGAAGCATAAAACTCTCATCTAGGAACGATCTCCTCCTCAGATTAAAGAGGATTCCTCGGATAAATGACGAAGATCTCGGAGTGGATCCCACAGAATTAGGAAAACCTCTATAAATACTATGTAACGCCCCCAACAGAGGGGCGAGAACCCGAGTATCACATTTTACAGTCTGTAAACCTTTTGGTATAGTAAATAGTGAAGGAGTGAGCAAGAATCTCTATTAAAGAGTGGATTAGCAGAGCTCTCGAGTTGGTGAACCATTATATTTTCACTGTGTATATCCCTTTAATCCCCTCAATATTTTATTGTAGCATCATACATGAGTCTCGAAGCTCTGATCCACGCTCATCTCACGTTACTTGCACCTTAAGCTCATCTACGTTGAAATAAACCATCAGATTTCATAGTCTTCCAACAATTGTAAGTTACCATATACATAGGCATGACATATAAAGGTGGCACCGTGGCAAGTAGTTTTGCATTAGAACTTTGGTATTTTTGATGGAATTGGAACACTAAATATGATTCGGATGCTTAAATTGAAAAATTCAAGGCTTATACTCGTGATGCTCCGAATCTTTAATTTATCTTGATCTTTTCACAGCTCAAATTGAATCTAAATTCCTAAAGGTTGATCGAAGGATTGAAATCCACTCTGGAAATTTTGTTTTCCCACTTAAAAATATTACCATAATTGTAACCAACGATACCGTTCATTAACCCCCAATTACTGCCCCATTCAATCCCCCCCCCCCCCTTAATTGTATCACCACACACAAAATTCACACACAAAAAAACCATAACCCTAACCCGCCTCCCCCTCTTTCTCACTCTCACTCTAGCCAATGTCGACATTGACGCCGATGCTGGTCATCGCTGATGGCAGTGCTTAACCTCTCAATCTACCTCCGCCTTAGTCATGGTATTCCCCCCTCTCTCCAGCCAATGCAGCGCCTCCATGTGCTTTGTGTGTTANAATACGAATACTAAACAATTAATATGCAACCAAAAATATATATATATATTAAAAAATTTACACTATTATTAACATTTTATTTTAAAAAAGTCTCAATTGAATTTATCGTTTTAGGCCTCAAAATATATCAAGCCACCCTTGTTGTTCTATTTGTGTGGTATGTGCATTGTGTGTGTATGTGTGTGTGTTATCTCCGTCTTTCTCTTTTCTTCTTATGCCTTTTTTTTGGGGGTTTCTATTTGCGTTGCGTGTATCCGTTTACATGTGTGTATGCACGTGTGTGTACACTGTGTGTGTGTTTGAGATATTCAATTGCTATAATATGTGGGTAATTATGTGTGTATAATATGTAATCCCAATATGTTACATCATTGGGACATAAACTATTCCGCAAACACAACACATACTTGNTGTTTCTGTGTACGTTGTTTGTGTGTATTCTCTCTCCCTTACTGCGTTTTTATGTGTTTTTATGTGTGTGTGTGTTATGTCTTCTATTTTTGTGGTATGTGTTCTATTTTTCGTTTGTGTGGTGTACGAGTTATGTGTGTATGTGCATGTGTGTTCTCTCTCCTCTTATTATGCCTTTTTCCAAGTTATGTGTGTATTATTTGTTCTCAAGGCCGGCCCAACAGCGGAGGAAAATAAGCGATGGCTTTAGGCCTATTAATAAAGAGGGCCTCAAAATTTAAAAAGTCTATAAATATAGTCCAAGTCAATATTAACCCATTAAAATTAGCCTTATAAGAAAGCCCTATATGAAGGCCTAAACTAACAAAAAACTCTAAACTGATTTTGGGCTTAAAAATTCAATTCATTAATCTCACACAAGAACATTTTACAAGAAATATATATATATATATTTTGTACCTAATTTAGTTATCTTATCTTGTGACGTGATGGATCATTACTGTGGAATTGATAGTAGGTCTTAACTAATAGTAGGATCTACTGTCAATCTAATAACAAAAAATGATAAGGTCGTCAAATAAGGTCCAT